AGATGATATAAAATGGCTAGCAAGTATATGAAAAGATGCTCAACATACTAATCATCAGAGAAATGTGAATGTAAACCACAGTGAAAGATCACCTAACACCCATCAGGATGGCTACTATAAGGAAGGAAGGAAGGAAGGAAGGAAGGAAGGAAGGAAGGAAGGAAGGGAGGGAGGGAGGGAAGGAAGGCAGGAGAAAGGAAGGGGAGGGGAGGGGAGGGAAACTGTTGGCAAGCATGTACAGAAACTGTATCCTTGTGTGCTATGGATGGATTGTAAATAGTGCAAATGCTGTGGAAAACAGTATAAAGGCTCCTCAAAAAGTTAAAAATAGAACTACCATATGATTCAGCAATTCCACTTTTGGATATAGATCCAAAAGAAATGAAAGTGGGGTCTCTAAGAGATATTTGCACATCCATGCTCACAGCAGCACTATTCACAATAACTAAGAGGTGGAAGCAACCTAAATGTCCATGAACTGATGAATGAATTTTTAAAATGTGATATATACATACAACAGAACATTATTTAGCCATAAAAAAGAAATTCTGCCACATGCTACAATATGCATGATCCTTGAAGACATCATACATCATGCTAAATGAAATAGCCAGTCATAAAGATAAGGTCATGAGGGCCCTCATGACTGGATTAGTGCCAAGAAGAGACATCACAGAGCTTGCTTACATACAAATACTGCATGCTTCCACTTATGTGAAGTATCCAAAGTAGTCAAAGCAATAGAAAAGAAACAGAAAGGAGAATGGTGGATACTGTGGTCTAGCAGGAGAGGGAAAAGTTTGTTGTTTAACGGCATGGGTAGTTTCAATCTTGCAAGATGAAAAGGTCTAGAGATCTGTTTCAAAACAATGTAAATGGGGAATTCCCTGGCAGTTCCCAGTTGTTAGGCGCTTTTACTGCAGGGAGCCTGGGTTCGATCCCTGGTCGGGAACTATCCTGCAAGCCGTGCAGCCTGGTAAAAACAAAAAAGAAAAAAACAATGTGAATATACTTACCACTTAAAAATGGTTAAGATGGGGCTTCCCTGGTGGTGCAGTGACTAAGAATCTGCCTGCCAATGCAGAAAACACGGTTCGAGCCCTGATCCGGGAAGATCCCACATGCCGCAGAGCAACTAAGCCCGTGTGCCACAGCTACTGAGCCTGCGCTCTAGAGCCCGTGAGCCACAACTACTGAAGCCCACGTGCCTAGAGCCCGTGCTCCACAAGAGAAGCCACTGCAATGAGAAGCCCACACACCACAACATAGAGTAGCCCCATTTGCTGCAACTAGAGAAAGCACGTGCCCAGCAACAAAGACCCAACACAGCCAAAAATAAAATAAATAAAATAAATGAATTTTTAAAAAATGGTTAAGATGGTAAAATTTATGTTATATGTTTTTTACAACAATAAAAAAAAAACTTTTTTAAACAGGCAAAGGATTCGAAGAGACATTTCACCAAAGAAGATGCTATACAAATGGCCAATAAGCACAGGAAATACTGCTTAACATGATTAGGAAAATGTAAATCAAGCACAATGAGATACTCCTTCACACCCACTAGATTGGCTATAATCAAAAAGAGAAACAATAACAAGTGCTGCACAGGATGTGGAGAAATTGGAATCCTCATATATTGCTGGTGCAATTGCTACAAAGTGGTACAACCACTTTGGAAAACAGTTTGGCAATACCTCAAAAATTAAATATAGAGTTACCATATGATTCAGCAACTTCACTCTTAGGTATATACCCATAAAAATTGAAAACATTAAGTCCACGCAAAAACAATGTTAACAGCAGCATTCCTCACAATAGCCACAAAGAGCACACAATCCAAATGTCCATTAACTGATGAATGGATAAACAAAACTGTGGTATATGCTTACAATGGAATACTATTCAGCCATAAAAACAAAGCACTGCTGTGTATCTATGACATGGATGAACCTGAAAACATGCTAGTTGAATAAAGCCAGACACCAAAGGTCACATATTGTATGTGAGAGAATTGTATGTAGAGGAGAATCAAGAAAGAGAAGCATCCTGTAATCTAAATGAAAATTTTTTCAGGGAGGAGGAAATGAACTACTTTGATAAATGCTGCCAATAAATCAAATAAAATAAAAACTAAAAATTGACCATTGAGTTAAACATTGTGGAATTCATTCGTGACCTTGACAAGAGTGGATTTAAAAGAAAACAAGAGACTTGGAGATAACAAGTATGTCCAACTCTGCAGAAGTTTTCCTATAACTAGAAAATATGAAATAAAACAAGCAGAAGGGGGATGTGTCATCAAAAGACGGATTTTTTAATGAGAGATGACATTATAATCAGCCTGTTTGCTGATGGGAACCATCCAGAGAAACAGAAAACTTAATCCGAAGAAGAGACTTGCTAGAATATCCTTGAACAAACAAGAATTGATTGGATCTAGTATACAAGAAGTGTACACAAGCCAAATAATTCACTCATAGTAACAGACCTGAGACCATATGAAGAAAGGCTGGCATGGTGGATTAATGAGTATGGTAGCCAGCCTCCAAGATGGCCCCAAATGAATCCCGCCTCCTGGTATTCCCAATTCTGTGTAGCTCTCCCTCACACTATCACAGGGTTGACTGTGAGACTAAGCAAAGACAGGAGTGAAGGTGTGTAACTTCTGAAAAAGACTCTGCACTTCATCTTGGGTGCAAATTCTCTCCTGAATCACTCGCTCTGGGGGAAGCCAGCAGCCATGACATGAGCAGCCCCAAGGAGAGGCCCAGAGAGTGAGGAACTGAGGCCCCTTGCTAACAGCCAAGTGAGTGAAGTTAGATTCAACAAAAGTCATGGAGAGTCCCTGAGGCAAAACCACCCAGCTAAGCCACTCCTGGATTCCAGACCATGAGATAATATGTTTCTTCGAGCTATTATGTTGTGAGATAATGTGTACAACACAGACATTTCAAGTTACCATATCACTCACATGTCGTACTTGCAACTCTGAACTGTCATACACAGAATAGCTCTCCTATAAATACAGCAAAATTTAAAAAACAAGCAAACAAAAAAAACAAAACGGGAATTCCCTGGCAGTCCAGTGGTTAGGACTTAGCACTCTGACTGCTGGCGCCCCAGGTTCAATCCCTGGTTGGGGAACTAAAATCCCATAAGCCACGCAGCGCAGCCAAAACAAAACAAAACACGGCAAAACTGACATGCCATGAAGCTTGTATAGTCAAATCAAACGTGTATAGTCAAGCCAAGGACTCAAAGTTGTATCAGCGATAGATAAGTAACTATACAACAGAGCTGTATGCACAAGTTGCTGGGCATATAGTCTTGTTTACTGACATGAAGTGAACGCAGATACCCCGCCCATCCAGTCACATTCAATTACTTCATGAAATAAAACCCTTAAGGAAAAGGGTACAGAAATGAACAAACTAATCCCATGGAACCATGTTAAATCACAACACATTTACTCCGAATGAACCACTTTATTTATTTATTTATTTGGCCATGCCATGTGGCTTGTGGGATCCCAGTTCCTCGAACAGGGACTGAACCTGGGCTACTGTAGTGAAAGTCCAGAATCCTAACCCGGAGGCCACCAGGGGACTCCCATCACTTTATTATTTTAATACATTAGCTGAAACCTTAGGCCACGTGCATCAGCCCACATTAGCCTCACTGCGTGGTAGAAGTCAGCTTTACACAGCTTAAAAATCCATGGTGCTCTTACTTTTTTCCCTTTCAAAACAGCAGGCGAATGCCGGCCCCCAGCCCCCTGCCCCTTTTTAAGGCCGCAACTTAGAGAGCTCCAGAATGAGCTGAACCAATGAGTGCCCTTTAGTCATCACACACATTCTGGGTCGGCTCCCACCCACGCAGGAGAACGCTCTCTGGGCAGCAACGTGTTAGTCTGGGAGAGAACAAGAAAAATGCTAAGGGTAAAAAAGATACCACTCCGGGGGCTTCTCTGGTGGTGCAGTGGTTAAGAATCCGCCTGCCAATGCAGGAGACATGGGTTCGAGCCCTGGTCCAGGAAGATCCCACATGCCACGGAGCAACTATGCCCGTGCGCCACAGCTACTGAGTCTGTGCTCTAGAGCCCGAGAGCCACAGCTACTGAGCCCGTGCGCTGCAACTACTGAAGCCCGTGCACCCTAGAGCCCGTGCTCCACGAGAGGCCACCGTAATGAGAAGTCCGCGCACCACAACGAAGAGTAGCCCCCGCTCGCCACAAGAGAAAACCCATGTGCAGCAACAAAGACCCAACACAGCCATAAATAGATAGATAGATAGATGATAGATAGATACCACTCTGGTCCTCATTAGAAAGATGTCTGTCACCTTACCTCAGGCGCGCACTGAAAACCTGGGGGCTTGAGATTTTCCAGGCAGGAGCAGGTCGCATCCTAGAGACCAGCAGAGAAAAGGGTCAGGGTGAGTCACGTGTTACGGGAACATCCTATCCCCCAGGCCCTATCTGGTCCTGCCCTGAGCATGTTTACCAGGCGTCTCACACTTTACCAGAGAACAGAATCTCGAACAAGCCTCTTCCTCCAACCTCCCCTCTCTCAGTAAAAACCACCTCATCTGCCACCTGCCCAAACCAAAAGCCTGGACCTCGGGCGCCCGGCGGGGCTCCCACAGGGGACGGGGGCGGGCCGAAGCCCAGTCAACAAGAAAATAGCCCAGGCGCAGCGGCAGGGGAGAAGCCACTAGATCGATTTGTTTTTTTGGTTTTTTTTTTTTAGCTGCGCCCTCCTGACAGCGCCTGGGCCCACGGCTCTCCAGAACCCCGCCGGGCCTGCGTCACAGAACTGCCCTGACATTGTTTTGTGTTGTAAGGTATTAGGAGACCTCGGCGGGGCCCGGGGGCCTGACAGACCCTTCCCCGGAGGCCGGCTCGGCCCACCCCTGGGGGAGGGAGGCTAACGGAGAGCGGCGCCCGCCCAGATTGGGGAAGGGAGAGGGTGAAAGGGATGTCAGGGCCTGGGCCTCACCCTCCCTCCTGAGGGCCCGCGGCCCCACACAGCCCGCCAGGGCCGTGCCAGGCCCGGCGCTCGTGAGGACCCGAGAAACCCTCCCTTCGGCCCTCAGGGGCCGCTCCGGCCGCGCCACGGTCCCCGTCGACGGCGGGGCCAGAACGTCCGGCGGCTCACCGGCCCCGAGGCGCTCCCCTGGCGAAGCCTGAGGCGACTACGCCTCCTCAGGCCCCGGGCGCCGCAGACGCCGCCACCGCCCACGCCCCAGCTCGCGCGCCCGCTGTCACCTGTGATTGGCTGCCAGGTGCCAGCGCGAGGTCGGGCGCTGTGGTCTGATTGGCAGCGAGTCCGGGTGGGCGCATGCGCGCTCTCTAGCACCCCACCAGTAGCGACCGTTGGGAGCGGGGTCAGGCTGAACCTGTGTCTCAAAGGTCTTGGGCTGTCAAGACGCCAGAGTTCGCCAGGGCTCAGGGTAAAGAGCGGACTCTCAGTCCCTCAGGGGAGTCCAGCTCTTGCAATCCTCAGGTGTGATCCCTCTCCCATAAAAGCACTATCTGTCGGCCCCTTGCTTAAGGAACTTGACCATGCAACTGGGTGTTGAAGCCCGTCCTCTTGGACTTGCATTTGGGGCCGATCCAGTGCAGCCTGCCACCTGTTTTTGTACAGCCTGCAGCGAGCTAAAAAAAGAGCTTTACAATTAAAAAAAAAATTCTTTTTATTTTAGAGCTTTACGTTTTTTAATGGCTGGGGAAAACCACAAAGAGAATATTATTTTGTGACAAGTGAAAATTATATGAAATTCAATTATCAGAGTCCTTAAAGTTGGAACAGGGACTTGCTTGTTCCTTTAGTTATCATCTATGGCTTCAAAGTAGATTAATTGCCAGAGATCATATTCGCAAGCCTAAAGTATTATTTGGTCCTTTACAGAATCTTTTTTTTTTTAAATTAATTAATTTATGGCTGTATTGGGTCTTCGTTTCTGTGCGAGGGCTTTCTCTAGTTGTGGCAAGCGGGGGCCACTCTTCATCGCCGTGCGCGGGCCTCTCACTATCGCGGCCTCTCTTGTTGCGGAGCACAGGCTCCAGACGCGCAGGCTCAGTAATCGTGGCTCACGGGCCCAGACCAGGGCTCGAACCCTGGTGTCCACTGCAGTGTCAGGCAGATTCTCAACCACTGTGCCACCAGGGAAGCCCCTACAGAATCTTTTTTAAGTGCCCTGTTCTGCTGGAATCTCCTAGTAATCGTTTGGAAAAAAAAAAAGTTTTTGGTTTAATCTATAATGCTATTTTCTTCTCTATTCATTTTCCATTCTTTATTATTTCCTTCCTTCTTATTACTATAGGTTTGTTCTGTTGCTCTCCTTTACAACTTTTTGAGATAAATGCCTAACTCATTTATTTGTAACTCTGATTTCTCTTGTATGTAATGCTATAAATTTACCTTAATTTACTAAAGTATCGATTTAACTGTGTCCCACAATTTTTGCTTAATAATGTGTTCATTATCATTCACTTCCAAGTATATCCTAATTTCCATGTATATCCTAATATCCTAATATTCTCTTCTTAAAACAAGGGTTATGTATTATATACTAATATATTTATTTTCCAAATCTATGGGATTTTAAAAGCTGTTTCTTTATCAATTTCTCATTTTGTTGCATTATGGTCAGATCACACAGTCTAACTATTATTGATCCTTTGAAGATTTCCATTCAGTGAAGTATACCATAGTCAAAATGAAGAGGATGTAATATAAAGGAAATATTTGCAATGTCTAAAATGTGTATATGTGAAATGACCTCCTTTAGGCCTCACAATTACTCCAATACCTTTCAGTAAGCTACTATCCACTAAGCTCCAGACTTTATTCAAATTTCACTAGTTTTCCCACAAATGTCCTTTTTCTGTTCCAGATTGCCATATAGGATACCAAATCACATTTAATTATAGCACCTCCTTAGCTTACTCTGGTCTATGGCAGTTTCTTAAACTTGACTTGCTTTTCATGACTTTTGACAATTTTCAGGAATCCTTAAGTGTCGGGTATTTTGCCAAATGAGTCTCGGTTTGAGTTTGATGTGTTTCTCCTGGTTACATGGGTTTATAGGTTTTTAGAACTATGCCGCAGAGGTGAGGTATCCTTCTCATCACTTCCCATCAGGAATACATACTATCAATATGACTTACCACTAGTTTCTCCACTGTAAAGTTACTTTTCTCCCCCAGCCATATTCTATGCTTTGGAGACAAGTCACTAAATCCAAACTACACTTAGGGAGGGGCAAGGAATCTCATTGAGGGGAAACATCTATGAGATACACAAATTATCAAGTACACAAATTAATTGGAACTCATTTGTAAGGAAGATCTGTTTCGTCTAGCTTTACCTTTTAATTTTAAATTAATCAAATTGAATAAAATTAAAAATTTAATATCTCAGTCACACTAGCTACATTTCACCAGCTCCGTAGTCACATGTGGCATATTGGACAGAGCAGATATAGGACATTTCCATCTGAAATTTCCAGTGGTTAGGACTCCACACTTCCACTGCAGGAAGTACAGATTCGATCCCTGGTCAGGGAGCTAAGATCCCACAAGCCTTGCAGCATGGCCAAAAAGAAAATTCTACAAGATGAATACTCCAACCAAAAAATGGGCAAATGATATGCACAGGTCACCTCACAGAAGAGAAAAATACACATTTATACATGTGAAAAGCTGATCATCCTTATTAGGAGATAAATGTTACATTACATTTTAGGAAATAAACGTAACAATAACATTAAAAAAAATTCCATCACTGCAGAAACTTCTGTGGACAGCACTGACTTAGATCATTCTTGTTTTAAAACATAATGCACTTAAACGTATGAATTTCTTCTAAGAACTGCTTTAGCTCTGTCCCATAAATTTTGCTGTTTTCAATATCATTCAATTCAAATATTTTCATTTTTTCCATAGTGATTTCTCATAGGAGCTACAAGTTATTTAGAATCAGAACCAGGACTAGGGTGAGCCTAGACCACAACGTTAAAGAGGCTTGTGAAACACAGGCATGGCACGTTTGCACTTTGGGCTCCTGGCAACCCTTACTCTGGGCCCAGCCCTCTTTGCTTCATTATATTGCTTCATTTCAAAATTTGGGGTTTTTTTCCCTTAATTATCTTTCTGGTTGGTTTTTTTGTTTGTTGTTTTGTTTTGGTTTTGGCCATGCCTCAAGACTTGTGGGATCTTAGTTCCCTGACCAGGGATTGAACCCTAGCCCTCAGCAGTGAAAGTGCTAAGTTCTAACCACTGGCCCGCCAGGAATTCCCATATCTTTCTGTTATTGATTTGCAGCTCAATATTCCTGCAATCAGTGGGTAGTTACAAAAAGCCCTATAACTCATGTCACAATTGATGAACTACAGTACATGATGAACTACAGTATCTTGAGAACAAGATAAGAATGTTCACTATAACCACTGCAGTACAACAAAACACCTGGAATAGCCAAGATAATTTTCAACACCAAAGCTGGAGAACTTAAACTCCCAGATATCTGTGCTAGAGTTCTCCAGAGAAATGCAACCAATAGGATATGTACATGAGGAGGTATGTTATGGGAATTGGCTTATGTTAAGTCCCACCATATGCTGCCTGCAAACTGGAGAACCAAGAAAGCCAGTGATATAACTCAGTTCAAATCTGAAAGCCCAAGAACCAGGAGCCCTGATGTCCAAAGGAGAGATGGATGTCCCTTCCTTCCCCTTTGTTCTCTTAGAGATGAACCCACATCCCATCTTAGGGATCATCCACATTCTCCTGAAAGATGCCAACCCACATTGCTGAGGATTTACATTTTTACTCAGTCTACTGATTCAAATGCTAATCTCTTCTGAAAACACCTCACAGATATACCCAGAAATAATGTTTCACTAGCTATCTGAGCATCCCTTAGCCCAGTCAAGTCGATAAAAAAAATTAACCATCACACAAACTTAGGCAGAGCCCCAGTAATTAAGAGCTATAATAATTGTGGCATTAGCACAAGACTAGAGCACTGGACAAATGGAATGGAGTCCAGAAATACATATACAGCCATCTCCCTGATTTACACAGAGCTTCCACCACAATACAGTGGCATGGTCTTTTTAGTAAATGGTGGTTGATTTGAATACACATATGAAAAAATTAACGTTGATACCTTGATTTATCACACCATAAATAAAAAAAAATACATTTGAGCTCGATCAGACCTAACTGTGAAAAGCTATACCGTAAAATTTCCAGAAGAAAACATGAGAGGAATATGTCCTTGGCAGACAATTTCTTAAACAGAACATTCCATGAAGCACCACTCTTTGTACATATGTACACCCATGAAATCACCATCGAGGCCAAAATAAGGGACGTTTTCAGGGTCCCAGAAGTTCCCTAATGCCCTTCCCAGTTGACAGTCTATAGTTTTGTTTTGTTTTTTAAGAGGAGGAGCAAGACTTGAATAGGCACTTAATAGAAGAGAGTAATACTTGAGTGGCCAATAAGCATGTGAGAAAAATTCTCAAAATCATTACTCATCAGGGAAATGCAGATGAAACTACAATGCAATACCACTACAGCATCAAGAGAATAGCACTGTTATTGAACAAAACTTGAGTCTGCTAGCCCGAGCACAGTAAAGCAAATCTACTGACACCATGTTGTGATGAAGGAAAGTACTGCGTTTATTGCAAGCCATCCAAAATGGGACCAAGCAAGAACAGGCAGCTCATGCTCAAAAGACCCAAACTCTGGGATGGCTTTCAGGGAAGGGTTTTTAAATACAACGTGAGGGAGAGTGTGGCAGGGTGTGTGATCGGCTCATGCACAATTCTTATGACCATTGGTGGGTGGTGAGGTAACCAAGGTTGTATTTCAGGAGTCAACATCATCAACCTTCTGGTTCCAGCTGGTCTGGGGTCTACATGCTGGTGGGCAGCATACAGTTAACTTCTTCTGTCTTCTGGGGGTTTTAGTTTCTGTGAAACAACTCAAGGATATGGCTCAGGATATTATCTGTAGCCCCTGAGGAGAAATTAAAGATCCTTGACTTTGTTTTATGGCTAAACTATTATTGTTTTGTCTTGCTTGCTTGATTGTTTTCTTTTGTTTCTGCATTTTCTCACTTCTCTAGTTAAATTCGCTCTTTGGAACATGGGGAAGGCCTAGGACCTAAAGCTTTTCTACAAATAAGAGGCAGGGACATGGGGGTGGGGGGGGTCTGTCCCTGGGAAGGCCCTGCAGGGTCCTGCTCAGTTATATACTGAAAAGGACTGACAGTACCAAGTGTTGGAGCTGTAGAAATGGAATTCACAGTATTGTTGGTGGAAATA